GGCTTCACTAATTGAGTGGCATGTTTACAGTTCAGCTTTACGTATTCGTGTTCGCTGTAGAACAAGTTAACTCCAGTTTTGTTTTAAAAGAGCCAAACGCTGCCGTTGTCTGTTAAATCATCTCTCTGTGAGTTTGAAGAAATTTGCAGAGTCCAGAGGTGACCAGTGAAACGTTCCTGACATTTTGAGAAATAGTCTGTTTTGTTCACCCATCATCCTTTATTCTTCTGTCCTTTTTCTTCTAAATGCCATTTCACCCTTTTTACACGGTTTATGTCTCTCTTCCCCCGTTTGTTTTCTTATGGCCAACGCAGATTGACGAGGTTCCTGGAATGGATATAATTCACATTTTCCTTCGGTCAATCATTCTGGAAAACCAATTTTTTATGACTAAAGGTCACAATCCCTGACATAGCACCTATAAAGGGTGGAAACAACTATTAAAAAGTACATTTTAAACTCACTCCTGATCATTTTTATTGGTCTATTAGTTAAAGTTCACACTTTATAGTATAAAAACACTCTTACCTTGAAAGTGATCTTTCCACAGCATCTGAAGAAACAACAAATGTGTCTTTTTAATCTTCTGAAAGGTTTTTACTGTGAATCTGTTCAAAGGAACATCTTTAGTGGCTCTCACACGTATTTACTGTATTACAGTTGTAACGAGTATTTTTGTCATGTTCTGGCTAAGTCTCCTGACCCATGGCATACAGAATCAATCACAGAAGGAGGGTTTAAAACAATATTTATTTTTCGTAAAGGAGAACTAAGGGACTGCCGTGGACGTGAGCCGAGGGTCCGTACAGGCACGTGACGTGGAGGTCGATTTAGTGGAAGGATGGCTGGAGCTGGAGAGGGAGGTGGTCAGGTCTGAGGAGGGTTCGAGCTTGAGGGAGGTTCTCTGGAGAGGAGGTGAGTGCAGGGTGAGTGGTGGAAGGCGGGTCGGTCTGGCCGGGCAGGGAGGACGTGGTCCAGAGATGATGTCCATATGGTTATGGTTGGAGAGCTGGTTGTGGAAAAGGGTACCTGGAGGCAGGAAGAGGGGTTAGGGACTCGAGAGGCTAGAGTGGAGCAACACAGGTTGAGTTGGCACACTATCTCAGGCCCTGTCCACACGTAGCCGGGGATCTGCCAAAACGTAGATATTTTTCTACGTTTTGGCCTGTCATCCACACGAAAACGGATCTTTTTAAGAACTCCGGCCAAAGTGAAGATCTGCGTTTTCTCCGTTTTGGGTGTCTGCGTGTGGACGGACAAAACCGGAGTTTTAAGGTCCGCAACGTCACTTTCCGCGACAAAAAAATGCTGACATCACGTGTGCAACCTGTGTTTACACTAGCCGGCATCATGGAAGCCCTCAGAGCTGCGCTCTGTCACTACCCGATCCATCAATTGTCCGAGCGCTTTCTGCTTGTTTGTTTTTGCAAGAGGAATTACTGCTCCTTGCGGAAGACCACAGACGAAGGGCGAGGTTAAGAACGGGGGAAGTACTGCCGCCTACAGGTCTGGCATGTCCTTAACAACGTATTTATCCGGGTACGTGTGGACAGAGTTTTTTTTTTAAACGAGGTAGTGTGGATGCAAGTTTTTGAAGGGGCGGATATTCGTTTTTAAAACACCCCGGCTACGTGTGGACTAGGCCTCAGGTTGAGCAGAGCAATACCCAAAGTGAGTAATCATCCGGCATGGTGGGGTTGTCTCCCTGCTCCTTATAAGCCCAGACCGGTGATTGGGAATCTGCTGCAGCTGCCCGCTCCTCGGCTCCACCCACCTGCAAGTGAGCACTCACACAGGTTAGAACCACTCACCTCAGATCCTGACCATTTTTTCTGTTATTACCCGCTCTCTTGAGCCCAGTCAGCCTGGTTTTAAACAATCGTTTCATATCCTGGAAGCTGCCGTTTCTTGTTTGTTGAAGCAACAGTTTGTTGTTCTAGTTGGAGATTTGTTGCTTTGTAAAATCTGATTTCTGCTCCATCAGTGAATCTTTAACTTAATGATTTTATTGTTTGACACCAAAATAAATTTGTGATGTTTGATTTTTTTAAATCCTGGCTTGAATGCAGCAACATATTCTAATAAAAATGAGGGAGACAAGTTAATTAACTTAATTTTTGCGTTACTAACATTGCAAATTGATGAAAACCTTTAGTTATTTTGAACATGTTAAGTTCCCATTTTAAATTTGTATTTCTCATTTTAATCCTTATTGCAATTCACAATTTCCCTTTTCCATAATTCAAGCTAAAGATAATTAAGTATTCCTATGCAGAAGGTGCTTTTCAGCTGCAGGACAAAAGTGTGAATTTTAAAATTGAATTTGAAACAAAAATCTTCCAGATTAAAAACGACGTCACATAAATGAGGTCAAGTCTTTGCTACTCTCTGTGTGTCGGATAAGAACAGAAAACCAAAGTCACATGAAGGAAATGATCACTTCTGATCAAGGCCTCCAGTACAAATCCTCCACATTGACAGAAATTGTGAATGAGGTGAGAATGAAGATAACTCGTGTCAAGGTTTAACTTGGTAAAAGGAATATTAGCGCTGACCAGCTGGAAATATTTCCCTCAGTGTTTTTATTTCTGCCTTTTATTCTCAGTTTGTCTTTGAACCGACGAGCTACGATCTTGTGAGGCGCGCTCGCTTACAGACGAGAGCAAATACGTTTTTGTCTGCCACAGAATGACTTGGAACTAAAAACATAAAATGGTGACTCTTTTGAGCATCATGTGATCGCTGCGATGGTGAACCGTCTTTGAAGTGAACGGGTTGAAGAACTCATTCTGGTCGACTCAGCACCAACACACACACACACAGACACACACACACAGACACACACACACACAGACACACACACACACAGACACACACACACAGACACACACACACACACACACACACACACACACACACACACACACACACACACACACACACACACACACACACACACACACACACACACACACACACACACACACACACACACACACACACACACACACGCGGACAATTATGACAGACCAATTAACCTAGCTGTTACAGCTACCAGCCTGGCCATTGGGATGCAGGAGCCAGGATCACCCAGCCCTGGTGATCGGCCCGACATCGCTCCTCCTCCCTTCCAGGCCGCTGAGGAGCACAGCTGAGCTGAATCCTGCTGATGACCCACACCTGGGATAAAAAGGCTGTGCCTTCAGCCGTCTGGGAGGCAGCAGTGATGTCCTCCAGGCCTCGTTTTGTTTTCAACCCCTTCGTTTGTGATGAGTTTTAACTTTTAAAGTTTTAACTCTGAGTGTTTCATAGGGATCTTTGGTTGATGTCAACTTAGTTGACTCTGTTTTAAGGTTAACTCGGATTTAGTTTTTAGACTTATCAACTTTGTTGTGTTTTTAAAACACCTTCAGTTTAGGTAAAACTTTTAATAAAGTTTTAACCAGGTGTTTTATATAATTGATAAGTTGTCTCTTAACTGTTAACCTTATAGTGACATTTTCCTTTAGCATTGTTTTAATAATGCTCGCTATCTGTTTGCACTTGTTTTTTGAACCATTGACAACAATTAAACCCATTCTAAATCCACTGTCACAATTCCTATGTTACCCCCTCCTTCACATTTTAACTCCTCCTGTCAAGAACGTAACCTAACAGTCATGTTTTTGGACTGTGGGAGGAAGCCGGAGTACCCGGAGAGAACCCACGCATGCACAGGGAGAACACGCAAACTCCATGCAGACAGATCCCAGGCCGGGAAGCGAACCCAGGACCTTCTTGCTGCAAGGCAACAGCTCTAACCACTTTTTACATCTTAGGTGTGTTCTTGCTGTGCCGTTTCTCTAATTCCATGCTGTAGTTCTTTTTTTTTTTAAAACACAGAACAGTTCTGTTTACCTGTTTTCTCTGCCTGAGGAAGTTTGCAGCCACAAACGAAACGTAGCGGGAAAACAGGTAAACTGAACTGCTCTGTGTTTTAAAAAAAGAACTACAGCATGGAATTAGCTCTAACCACTGCACAGCCTCATTCTGGTTCATTCAAATCACTCGTGATTCCCCGACAGATCATTTCCAAACCCTCGTGCATCGTTAGATTCACTGGAAAGTCTTGGTAGTCGTGACCTAAAGCTGTAGCTGCAGGGTGACCGTGACCCTTTTTCACCCCCTCTCTGATCTCTCGTCATCGACTTTGTCCACAAGTTGACAGTTTGGTAGATTCTTTCCGGTGTTCCCTTTTGGTCTTTGCGTCTGCTGCCACCTCTCTGGGATGCTCGAGTGCCACGTCCGGACAGACCGAGTGCCTGTCGGATGCTAGTCAGCTCCTGGAGGCAGAGCATTAGCATTCACTTACTCTGGGAATGCCCTTGGCTAGCCGTCTGCTGACTGAGACGTGAGCAGCATCAGATACACCCACAGAAGCAAGTGGAGGGGCAAAGAGCAGGAATTGAAGGAAAATGTGTGTAAAAGAGCAGTGGTGGTGCCTCTCGGATGGTAATCGTGTACAGTGGTGTTGGCTCATTAGCATTCTTCATTAATCTTGCTGTTATTTCACAGGGGGGTTGGCCTCATTCTGTGCGATCATACCCGCAGAATAAGTTTGTAAATGATGTGTGGGAGAGCACATCTACCCGTACCACTGGCTGATATTTGTTTTTACGGAGCAGAAGGTGTGAGTGGGTGTGCAAAAATAGTGAGCTGGGAGATGGAGGGCTTGTGTGCATTTTGTCTGACAGAAGAGGAGCGAGCAAGGGAGAGGAAGGGGAGGAAAGAAGTTGGGGGGAGGGAGCTGGAGTAGGTAGGCGGGGAGAGAGGAGGCGAGTGTCGCGGACAGTAAGGGAGGGAAGGAGCAGCGAGCCGCTCGCTTGCCGGAGCTGCTGGAGTGTGTGATCGTGAGTGCTTCTTGAGCCGTTGTGTGAATAAAAGGGGACGTTTCTTTTTTTTTTTACTTTATTTTTTTACTTAAGTCTCTGATGTTTGTATTTTTTTTTTCTTTCTCAAAGTGCAACATCAAGCCTCCTCAGCAAGAGCAGAACTTGTCTGCAGCCCTACCTGGGATTCTGAAGAGGACCCAGGAAAGAGAGCGCGCTGCCAGGTAAGAGAGTGTTCAAACACCATTTCAGGTTTGCGGCGTGGAGATGGAGAGAGCGCAGACGCACGGTCGAAGGATGGCTGAGCTTTGTTTGTGATGAGATTTTGAAATGAATGCACGCTGCCTGAAATGGAGGTTTTTCTTTTTTTGATGTGTGTGAGCCATGTCTGCAAACACGGCTCACAGGACGCTGCACTGTAAGTGTGACTGGAACAGTCGGGTCGTGTTTAGGCAGGGAAGGAAGCCGTGGCTGTGGATCAGAGGTGACAGATGTCAAGAGAAGTCACGTTTACGATCATTCGTTACTCAAAACAGGAAGAGAGATTTGTGAGAAGAGGTCTGTGTTACAGAAGGGTTGTGTGTGTGTGTAGAGCTGCACACAGGTATGGTTTGTGAGATTGGTTTGGGTCTGTTTTAAGTGGGATCTGGCTGCATGGGAACTGTGGCATCAGAGTCCCGGTGAGCCTGAGATCTCACAGCGCCACAGTGAAGGGAGACGGTAATTGAGCTACAGAAAAGACATCACATGTAGTATCTTCAGCAGCTGTATCCTGTATGAATCTGGTGTTGCTGCCTCCTCTGCTGAGGTTTTGTTTTGCTGTCATCTTAATGAGAAGTTACACTTTAATCGAATCACTGCACTGCCTTCCCAGCTGTTTGCCATTTCCTCCCCCTGTCATCCCTTATCTCTGCTCCGCTATCTTTGGCCTCATTATTCCAGATTCAGCTGAAATGAACCTCTAGTTGTCCTTCCTTTTGTCCATCCATGCATGCTGAGGTCCAGCACTGAACAAAGACAGACTTTGAGGCTAAACAACGCTTCTGTGTTCCTCAAAGAGGTGAACACTGGCTGATTCCTGCAGCCCATGTTGAGTTTTCCTCGTCTGGAACGAACTAACACACAGCTCTCGTCTTGTTTGATTCCTGACTCCATTTTTCCACTACTTTCTACATCCTTTCTTCTCTTATATGAGGTGGAGCAATTTCCTTCGAGTTGCTTGAAATAAACTAGAGCTGAGTAATGATAGTGGCCCAAGAACATCTGCTCCTCTTTTCTGCGTTGTTTTTTGGGGATTGTATTGCACATCTTTTATGTGATCTGACTCAACAACCATTTGTGTCCACGTGTTGTGATCCGGCTGCGAGTTCTCCCACAGCATCAATAGTTAATGAACGCCTCAAAGTGCCTTATCAGTGTTTTTGCTGAACAGCTGCTCCATTTAAATGGGATACTACACTGTAAACAGTGAGTGTGTGTGGGCGATAGGCTGACCTTCATGTCACCTTGTTGTGTTTACAGTGGGTGTGACATGAGTTGATGAAACGTGGCAGAATGCGAGTTTAATAATGTAAGACTCATAGAAAATGAAGTCAAAGGTGGGAAACAGTGAAGAGAATATTTTTTTACACAAATTCAGTGTGTGTAAAAACGTGTGTGGATGCTCTGAGCCGATCGCTCCATCCTTGAACTGCCCAGAGCGGCAGGCAGCTCCTCTCGGTCCACTGGATGCTCTCCCTGTGACTCATTCCTTCGTTCACTCTGATTGGCTGGCCTTTCTACTCCAGGGAAAGACAGGATAGAGCGGGTTTGGCCCCTTATGGGCAGGGATCAGCCGTTCCTTTTCATGCAGCGTCCCACAGGATCAATGACTGAATGTTAAAAAACAGATTTTGAAAGTCATTGAAGCAAATTATAAAAGTAAATGTAAGTAAGGTTGTGTTTGTTGGCTCTGAAAAGTAAAATTTGATCTTTGTGTGGCCTTCATCCCTCTGTGGATGACACTCTGACACGTGTGACTGCTCAGAGATCGAGCAGGGCGTGGAGCGTCATGCCTGCTGAGACCCCGCCTTGTTTGCTGCTTTCAGAAGGCCCCAGCTGAGACATGGTCCAAACTGCTCCGCCCACACTGCCACTCAGTCAGTCAGACGTTGAAATTTTTATTTTATCTCAGTGGGAAGAACCTCTGTGCTCAGGGTGAGCAGAGCTGATTCAGGACCTTGGACAGAGCTCCTTTAGAGCTAGAAAAGCGGGGTTTCAGCACCAAGGACAGTGCCACAGGCAGCAACCTCTTTATAAAGCTCTAAAAATGTTGAGGATGTTAATAGAAAGCATTCATGTGGTGATTGGATTATGCAATGTGGGAAACCGACACATTTGCATTGGTTACATAAAGAACCTTCTCTGAGGAGCAGATTATGGCCCGAGAACAACAGGAAGGAGCTCAGCTTTAACAGGTAGGCTTGTGGGGGTAATTACACTTTCCGCCATCATGGTGAAGCCTCCAAACTGGGTTTTTTGTCACATTGCATCTGATTCTGTGGTGCACTAGTCAAGGGTTCTCCTGTCTTTTTACTGATGTAAATTTTCAGTTTCATCCAGCTTGAATTAAAAATCACACAAAGCCCATCTTTTCTGTAACGGTTTTCTTTTAACTGCATTGTTTGTGTTTTTTGCCAAAAATAATCTACAAAAACATGTTTATTTTCCTTTTCTTGCTTTTTCTTTGCACAAGGGTTGATTTCTCATTTCTCACCTGTTGGGGCATCAGTTAAGGATAGTATTCAATAAATTACACATTAGAAAATGCACAAGGAAAAGAAAAAAGTCAATTAACTGTTTTATCAGGTTTTTAGTAGGAATGTCCGATAATTTCTGTCAATTAATATTATTGGTCCGACGTGGATGAAACAGTCCGCTGGGACCCAGGGAATACTGGACATCGGTAAAATGTCCAGTATCCAGCATCCCTAGTTTTCACATATTGTTTTATTGCTAATAAATAGTCTCCCGTGAGTTTTTGGGCCGCAGTATTATTTTACTTGGATTTGGATTTAAATTTTGCATTTTGGATGTCAACGGAAGGAGCCCTCAGCTGTCCTTATAAGAGATAGTAAAAAGGCAGTGCATCAGGATGTTACACAGTGTAGAACATAAAGTCTGGGTTATTTTTTTCAGCTTCGTCTGTAAATTAAAAAAAGAGCACCAATAATTGAAGCTCAGCAAAACCCAACAGTCTAGATTTAAATCCTATTGTTCGGGGTTTCTGTACACAAAGTTAGCATTTGGGTGAACATACATGTTCTTGTTCTTTTGATCATGTAAGAAAGTAAAATGTTAAGTTCTGAGGTTTTGTCCGTCGCCCTTTCTGTTCTGTCTGTTTTGAACAGATTCATGTAACATAAGACCTCCCCTTAAAAAGCCGACAACAAACTAATACACAAGTCGTGCACTAGAAGGAACTCTGTCACTAAATAATTTTGCACTACGTTGTACAAACTGTAAACTGATTATTGGTTTGAAGGTAGTTTTATTTAAATTATGATAAAGCATGCACCTTAATCAGCAGCTAATCTGACAAGAGTTGCAGGAACTGATCCAGAGTCTGTTCAGTAACTAAAGGACTGAAGTCTCATAAAAGCCGGCAAACGAAGCGTTTCTTCACAGAAATACTCGATAAAAGTGCGATTGAAGTGTATAAAACTGTTAGAATGGATATATTTGATACTTATGACGTATTGTTCTCTTTGAAGCTCATGCTGCTGTTTCTTCTTCAGACTTACAGATTATTGCATTATTTTATTATTGCACAGGTTGAGATTACAGACACAAATGACTACTTTTTACTTTGCTCTGTCCAGTTCACCTGTGCAGTAATAAAGAGCCCCTAAATCACATTTAAATTGCCTCAATTCTCAGGTAACTGTATTGGTTTTTTTTTCATGGACAATTGTAGTTTTGTGTCTTTGCATTTAAATTTATATTTATAATAGTAGCAAAACATCAAAAAATGTGCACATTCATCACCAAAAGCACATTAAATGGGTGTTTAATCAGATGCAAAGACATATGTTTCTATATTCCTGCTTGATTCTGCTCTCATTTATTCTCTAATCGCTCAAGTTTCGCGCCCCTTGTTCCTCTCTGTCCATGCATACGCATGCAGCTCATTTAGCTGTTGGCCAAACGTGTTTAAATGTGTTCATAAGACTCATAAATCAGATCATCACGGTCACGACGTCCACACGATTATTTCTTTTCACTTTGCAAATTCTAAAATGCGTCCTCACCAGGTTTTCTCTTCCCGTGGGTCTGATCCAGTTCTTGCTCACGTGTTGGACAGGTTAGACAGCACTTGAACTGCATGGTGATGAACACAGCTGGAGAGATTCCCCTTAAAGTCTCTGTTCTGCCCATGAAGTGATCCTCACGCAAGAAAAATCTTGATGTTGGGCCAAAGGGCTGATGGCAGAAGGTGAGCACGTGAAGAGCGAAGTGATGCAAGCCGAGTTTCAAGCGAAAGAAATGAAGTGCTGTGATGGCGTTGGAGCTAATGGGTGTTTTTCCACCGCAGCACACCGTAGCCGTGGGTCTTGCTGCTGTGTGTGGATCAGTGAGCCACCTTTTGGAAATGAGATCTGAGAGGAAAAGCGGAGCTGCTTTTATCACTAGATCTCTGACTTCACAGAGAGGCTGACAGGATAGTGCAGTTTGCATCAAACTCAGCACGCGGGTTACTGAAAGGTAGAAGGAACTCTGGAGAAGCACACCTCAGGTGTTTTTAATTGTTGCATAGCAACAACTCGTCGCTTTTCAGCGGATGCAACGCCAAGCCTAAGCTGGTTTTGTGTTTGACAGAATGTGAAGTAAAGGTACTGGGAAGAGAATAAAGGGCAGCGGGAAGATTTCTATTTCTGTTTTGTTTTAACAAACACTGCTCTGCTTGTGCAGACCTGAGAACAGCGCTCTCTTAAAGGGAACTGGACTCTTTTAGATCAGTGACCAAATACACGTGATTCTATAAAATATGTTTTTGTCTCTTTAAAAAAAGCTTTTGGGCCAGCTGCTGTGAGTCTGTTAGGAGTATCATCTATGCATGTGAGGAGTAGACAAGCGCTCGTACAGGTTCAGCGTCTGGAGACGTGTGCAGAAAGTGGACAGTTTCACCGCTGATCCCCTTTTAGGAAAATATTTCTGTCTTTGTAGTACATTAAAGCTGGAAAGC